TTACTGTCACTAAGTTGTTAATCTGAGGTAGTAGCTTAGTAAATCCTTTTTCTTTACTTCAATTTCTTCTAAATATCACATAAAATGGAGATGATAAAGGCTCATGAATGAAGGAAAAAAAAGGTAGCCTTGTTCCCTTCACCCTTGATTCATCATGGAACAAGTTCCACTGATATCTGCAATCACTTAGTTCTTCTATGCAAGGCAATAAAGAACTTGGGGTGACCAAAATGGCACTGCCTATGAGTCTATACTTGTTTCAAAGGTAAAGTTCCAAAACAGGCCACTTTTTTCCCAAGAGGAGAGTATGGATGCCACTCCAAGTGATTTGATGACTATCCCAGTACAAGGAACTTGAATACTAGCAGAAAAAAATTAAACAAATACATGATCACAAAAGCCTTTCAATTCATTTTCCTCTTTGTTTACTCTTACTGTCCTCAAAATTTTGTCTGTATTAATGACACAATGAGATGAACAGATATTGCTTCTGGAAATGTCTAGGTTTTTCAGTAAAGAGATGGTTCAACTATTTTCTGGCACTTCAATAGAGAGAGTCACTGGAGTTTACCATAACATTTAGAAACTGCAATATTTTGAAATGCTTTTTGAATGGCCAGAAGAAATGCTAATTTATGATAAAATAGGATGTCAATATTGAAGTATGTTTTAACCTAAATTTTTGGCTATGAGAATTTTCATATATACTGAGATATTGAAATACCAGCATGGATGCTAGTATATTGTCTTATATTCAATAATTGTTGATTTTTGCTATATTTTCTTTCTCTCCCCATATGTACACACACTACTCACACACTTTTTTGTTGCTTAAGTATTTGAAAGTAAGTTGCAGACATTATTACTTGGGTTAATATGTATTTTGATGTATACTAATTCTATGAAATATAGTTATGTATATATAAAGTATATGGTATTATATCCATATATAAAATATGTCAGTTAAAATATTTTTATTATAATTGCACATTAATTTCCCATAAAGACATTTTTATTAGTCAAAATACCCAATTGTCTAAACATGACAATTTGTGTTTGTTATAAGCATTAACTCTGTCCTGTACCTGATGCCAAAGAGATATGGATTTCTCCATAAGAGCTAGTGCTTTAGTCTATCTTCCGGAGGATAAATGAGAGTCAGTGTCTATCACCCAGACATGTAAGTGCCTAACGGATTCTCAGTGATGAATTAGGAGTAAGTCTCTTATTGCCAATGTAAACTAAGTCCTTCTCCAAATATTAAGCTATAGAAAGCTACATCATATTGCCACAAAATAAAATTTGGGCAAACTGCCTTTAAAAAGTATTTAAACAGATCCTCGAAAGAGGATTATTGTTATCAAATAATTGTAAAAGAGATGGGAAATCTTTCTTGGACTTAAAAGTGTTCATATGTGAATTTAATCACCTATAAACTGGATTGAGTTTTCTTAGGTTTATTAACTTTCTTGAATATGACAGAAGTTTCACTTATCTTCAGATAACAGATTGAATATGTATTTTGAAATTCATCTCGGAAGTCTTTTCTTATAGATAGTATTATAGGCAGAATTTTATCCCCCAAAAAAGATTATATTGAAGTCCTAACCAGCAGTACTTCCAAAAGTGACCTGGTTTGGAAATTGAGTTGTTGTGGATATAAGTTCATTTAAGATGAGGTCATAGTAGAGTAGGGTCTGCCCCTAATCCAACAGGAATGGTGTCATTCTAAGAGGAAAATTTGGGCACAGACAATGTACAGAGGGAAGAGGAGATGCAGACACAAAGGGAGAAAGTGGCCACATGACAACAGAGGCAGAGATTAGAGTGACACATCTGCAAGGCAAGTTTCTGTCACCAGGAGCAGGAGAGAGGAATGGAACAAGTTCTCCCTGAGCACTCTTAGAAAGTATCGACCCTGCCAAAACCTTGATTTCAGACTTCTGGCCTCAGAACTCTAAGAGAATAAATTTCCATTGTTTTAAGCTTCCCAGTTTGTGGTAGTTTATTACAGCAGATTCAGGAAATTCTCACAGTTAGCTGATAATAGATAGATAGACAATCTTTCGGACCTTTTAGGTTTAGGTCTAGTCATAAAATGAAGACTAGAGGAATTATCCAGTGAAGTAATATAGTGGTCCCAAAGTTATTAGTTGAACCACAAAAAACTGCCATTTTTGTAGGTAAAAAAATGATTTAAGAGAGGCAGTTTTATGTGGCTCTATCTAATAAATAGATTATTAAATAATTCCATTTCTATAATCGCCTCTTTCCTGAAAGAGCAGATCTTTAACTGAATTCACTAGGAAAATGGTTTGTTTTCTTTGCATTGCTTTTCTTCTGTCAAGCGATTCCTAGGCTTCATTCATTTCATTTAGAGAAGGAAGTTCTGTCCTCATTACCTATAAGAAAGGAAGCGCTGGAGGCAATTGCTTTTTGAGGTTTTGCCTCCTATTCTCTCATTTACACATCTCTGTGCATGGTTTACTCTAGGAGACAATGCTGGAGATTCCATCCAATTCATGTTCAAAGCTTGGGTTTCTCCAGGAGATTTTCTCTCATTCCATTTGGCACAGCAGTGACTGTGTTTGACAACATCTGCCTTAAAGCACCGCTCCACAGCTCCATCTGACACTTGGTTCCCATCCACATTTTCTTCCTGCCTGTCTTCTGAGGAAGATGTTTCCACAACAGAGGTGGAGAAGAGAAGACAGCAAGGGCAAACCAGAGCTTTACTTTCCCAGTGAATAACTCACGAACTCACAAAATGTCTTCTCCTGTCTCTTATTCTAATTCAACCAAAGATTTTTGACATAAACCAATATTTTCTCAACGAGCTCTTTGTCCTTTGGGATTCTGAGCATTCAAACGTCATTTCTGAGTGTTTCTTCTCCTACACATTCGTACAGCTAATCCCTTTCAAAGTTTCCTCAACTATGAAAACAAAACAACAACTCACAAATTTTACTGACAATTTTTTTAACCAGCAAGAAAGAATATAATCAAGTCCGAAAACATCTATGTGACCACTGCTAAAACATGCTTACTTATCTTCATAAAAAGTAGATATTTACTTACAAGTTCCACTTCATAAAATTGTAATAATCCTTAGTTCAAATAAATGTTATGACTCTAAGAAATTGATTTAAGAGAAAATTCCAAATCTTATCAATCAAAAGATTCCTCTACATTCTGGAGTACTTCAATCATTGCCTACACCAAATAGGAAATCCCTTTGGGTTTATAGTAGCAACTACCATTTAAATTATTATTCTTCACTTAAACTGTCTTTTTAGTTTGCTCTGGCTTTAAATTCTAACAGATTGTTTCAAAATGTCATTCTACTTCTACTCAATTGAAAACACCCTGCCATTATTCTCTTCATTGTATGAGATTCTAAAATTTCTAAAATTTCCCTGGGCCAGACAATACATAAACAATTGGTGATATTAGAAAAAAAAATCCTTCAGCCTAAAAGAGGTATCATTTGATTTCAAGATTTATGATATTTCTCTCTTCAGCATACTTTACAGCTGGGTTTTCAGAAGTATATATATTTCACATATGTGTTCACATAGAATTTGAGAAAGGAAGAATGTGCTACAAAGGAATATGTTATGTTTTTGTGGTTTTATAAAGGGAAACTCTTTCAAGACAGAGAATAGCCATGCACTGCATTGACAAACACTCTCTAGGATACAGGGACTACCATGAATGCTGGTGTCAGATGCTGCCACTTCTATCGTGAACTCTCATCTGCTGTACCTCATTGGAGATGAGCCAGAGTAACTTTGTCCCCTTGGCTCACCTATGAGCATATGGCAAAAAGAAGTAATATGAAAATCCAATCCTTCCTTCTTATTCAAATAGAGACTTCTTAAATGAGCAGGCTCAGTCCTAGAAACAACAGTATTTGTCTATTTGCACTTAACTGAAGCAAATCCAACATCTGAAAATCAAGTTAGAAGCTGATGACTCCTTTCACAAATACATCTATTTGTGTTTCATTTAGGTATTTTTTTAAATAGCAAGCATGTCTACTATACTAAACTGTGATTAGAGATTATATATCTGTACACATTATAAGGACCTATTTTATATTTTTATATTTTAGCCAGAGGCTTCCATTGAAGTTAAACAAAAATCTTGTTTAACTCTTAAACTGTCCCTGCTCCCCTTCCCCCAGGGGACTTACTTAAAAACAAGTCCGGGAAACCAACTCCAGGTAACAAAGCCCAGATACGAGGGTGGGTCAGGCCAGGTGGAGACATCCGATCCGTCGGGGGTTGCATACTGTCTCCCTAGCTACCAAGGTGTATGGGCCCCCTGCCCTTTGGTAGCCTTTTTGGCACCAATCCTAATCAAGGTGTAACAGGCTGGTTCAAAGGTCTACTAGGGTAAATTGTAATTCAACTGGTCACCTAGCATCACTGTGGAGTTTCCCGTGTGTGATACAATCTCATTGGTCACCTGTGCATGACCAAGCCCGACCGCATGGTCTTTGCCCTTAAAAGCTAGACTGTGAAACAGAGAAGGGTCGCCCTGTCTTGTAAGAGGTGTGTCCCCGAACGTTCGGTTTGATTCTTGACACTTGGCGCGAAATAAAGCTTTGCTTAACCTTCGCTTTTATCAGTCTCGCTCCTTTAATCACGGACCCATTATTGGGGCATAACACACATATATGGACATGTGTACACATATATGTACATATGTACATTACTAGTATACAAAGTATACCAGGTCTACCTGCCAGTTCTAAAGGTTTCTCCTTGCCACACTTCTCCCCACAACCACATCCAGTCTGAGATCCAGTCGCTTTCAAAGAGTCATGGAATTTCCACTAGAAAACAACTCATTTGGCTGCACTTTCATGCTCAAGATTCAAGTGAGTTAGCTGTACACAGCAGTTCTCTGGCCTCTTTATCCTGTGAATCAGGGCTCCTGGCTTCTCCAGGTCACAGATCCCTTAGAGATGCTGTTATATAATGAAATAAACTTACTGTTTTCTTTAACACTTTGAGAGCATAAGGCTTCTGGGTCCCCTTCTGTTTGCATCTGTACACAATGGATGTAGCACCCCTTGAGGGGGGAAAAAGACAAAAAGAAAATGTTATGCTCTGGACATAAAATCAAGGGGAAAGCTTGAAAATAAATCTATCTTGCAGTTACCCTCATAACTAACAAGTGTTTATAAGTTCTACTACAGGACCAGCCCAACTGTATTTTTTTTTTTCACAACTGAATATGGTTTGCTCAGAAAAAATCTAGGTTTTCCAGTCTGTTCTTTTCCTTCTGGCCCATCCCTATACAAGTGACATGCCCAGGGCTGCTGCATTCAGTAGGCTCCGGAATAACCTGGGTCCTCAGGTGAACATCACTTTTGGATGACATCCTCCAAATTTCAGAGTCCCTGGGCTTTCATAAAGGTATGAAATTACAATTTCAAATTAGCCATACAGCTTCAGGGAGAGAGTTTAAGTTCAGCACTGGGCTGTACGGGTCAGGACAGTGAGCAAACTTGCCAAAGGAAGGGGGACCCTGTGAATTTACACCAATTCATTTGGTGCCCTGGCATTCTCCCAGTGTTAACATTAGCCCCACAGAGATTCTGGCTCTTTCATCTTGGTGAAAACTGCTACCATTTATTTATATATGCCCTAACAAAAATAATTACATGCGGGGCGCCTGGGGGGGCTCACTGGGTTAAGTCTCTGCCTTCGGCTCAGGTCATGATCCCAGGGTCCTGGGATCGAGCCCTGCATCAGGCTCTCTGCTCAGCAGGAAGCCTGCTTCCCCCTCTCCTCTGCCTGCCTCTCTGCCTACTTGTGATCTCTGTCTGTCAAATAAATAAATAAAATCTTTAAAATAAATAATTATGTGAGATATCCAGGGGAAAATATTACAGAAATGGTTAAGAATATATAGACGAAAAGTAGATCTTTCTGTTTAAAAAACTCAAATAAGTACAGACTGTTTACCTGTAAAGGAGATGGCAAGAAGGGACTCAGTAACTGTCTTCATACATGTGTGAGCTTACTAAAAGGAGAACACTGAAAAGCAGACAGTGTGGTCCTGATGTTCTCTCTCCTCACACAATAGCAGGGCAATGAAATAGAGGCAAAAGAAGCCCACAGACCAAGCAGGCTTAAGTTACAACCTCAAAAAGGGAACTTTAGATGAATCTTAAAATAAGATCAGTTGAAGTAAATCTGTCACACTTTGAAAACGAGGCCAAAGGAACTCTTATGACATATTCAATCCTGTGGTTCTAAAATTCTAAGTAAGCTTAAAAGAAGTCTAAAAAATCAAGCATATTCCTAGTTGCCCATTCACAATCCATTTTTAACAAAGTCAGGAGAAGGCAGAAATTGGTGGTGTATGTGCTGGTAGAGAAGAAAAATTTCAATACGTTTTTTAAAACTTTGGTAAGACATAACATATACACAAAGAAATATATGGTTTTAGAAATGGAATAAATGGAGATAAACACAAAATCCAACTTTATTTTTAGTTGTTCAAAAGATAACTATCTAAAGCAAAACTATTGACAATGCATTATCTTTAGAGAATAATCAAAAATGAAATGTGAGGGAGGAAGAAACAAAAGAAAAGACTAAAAAATAAAACAGCTAAAACTATGGTGAATTTTAATCAAATCACATTAGTAATTACATTAAATATAAACCTTATAAACACATTAGTTAAAAATAGAGATAATCAGATTGGATTGAAAAACTAAGATCAAACTTGCTGTGTACATAAACCCATTTAAATATAAAGGCAAAAACAGGTTAAAAATAAAATTCTAGAAAAGAGATACTATGCAAATACTAAAGAAAAGGAAACAGAAATAGATCTATCAAGATCATGCCAACCAGACTTCAGGATAGGTATAAAGATGGACATTACTTAATTATGAAGGGGTCACTTTCCCAGAATGACATAGCAGATGTAAATTTGTATGTGCTTAACAACAGCACTTCAAAGTACATGAACCCAAACTGATAGAACTGATAGGAGAAAAAGACAAATCCACAAATACAACTGGAGACTTCAATACACCCTCGCAGCAACTGAGAGAACAAGTAGACAAATTGTTACCAAGGATAGAAGACATGAACATTATTAACTAAGCTAACCTAATTTACATTAAGAGAAAACTACAAAAAAAAAAAAAAAAGAAAAATATCAGGAAATACATTTTCTTCAAAGGTAAAAGATCCACATCCAGACAATATAGAGCTACAGTAATCAAGAGAGTGGTGTTGGAGAAAGAACAAACATGAAAAAGAATGGAATGAAAAAAAGAATGCAGAAATAGTCTGAAACATATAGAGTCTGTTGGCAAAAAGGCAATTCAGTGGAAGAAAGGACAGTCTTTCCAACTATAAATAGTGCTGGAACAACTGGATACCCATATGCAAAAAACAAACAAATTTATAATACAAAACAAAACAAAAACCTTTATCCAAACTTACACTGTACCAAAAAATTCTCAAAATGAATCAGATATAAATATAAAACCTAGAATTCTAAAACTTGACCAAAAAAAAAAAAAAAAAGGAAGAAAATTTTGTGACCTTCAATTAGGTCATGATTTCTACATACAAAACCAAAAGCACAATGAATCAAAGAACAAACAAATAAACTGGATTTAATCTAAATTAAGAATGTCTATTCTTTGAAAGCCATGACAAGGAGAACATTTTTACAAATCACATATCTCATAAAACATTTATATCTAAAATTACAAAGAAACTCAAAACCCAATAATAAAAAATAACAGATTTAAAAAATGAACCAAAGAGCTGAACATGTTTCACCAAAGAAAATATATCGATGGCAAAAAGCACAGAGAAAGATGCTCGACGTCATTTGTCATCAGGGAAATGAAACTAAAACTACCATGATACACAACTCCATACTTAGTGGAACGCCTTAAAGAAAAGAGAGAAAAAGAGAGAGAATATCATGAGCTTGCGAGGATTCAGAGCAACACTAACACACTTTGGGAGGGAATGCAAAATGTTACAACCACTTTGGAAAACAGTTTGGCAGTTTCTTATAAAATTATTTGCCCAAGTTAGATGAGAGCTATGTTCACGACCCAGCCATTGCACTACTAGGTATTTACCCCAAAGATACAGACATAGTGAAAAGAAGGGGCACTACAGATGTAGTGACAAGAATGATCATAGCAGCAATGTCCACAACAGCCAAACTGTGGAAGGAGCCGAGATGCCCTTCAACAGATGAATGTTATAAAGAAGATGTGGTCCATAAACACAATGAAATATTACTCAGCCATGGGAAGGAATGAATACCCACCATTTGCATCGACATGGATGGAACTGGAGGGGATTATGCTAAGTGAAATAAGTCAAGCAGAAAAAGACAATTTTCACGTGGTTTCACTCACATGTGAAACATAAGGAATACCGTGAAGGACCACAGCAGAAGGGAGGGAAAACTGAATGGGAAGAAGTCAGAGAGGGAGACAAATCATGAGAGACTCTGGATTCTGGCAACCAAACTGAGGGTTCCAGAAGGGAGGAGGGTAGGAGGATGGGGTAACCAGGTAATGGGTATTAAAGAGGGCATGTGTTGTGATGAGCACTGGGTGTTCTATGCAACTAATGAATTGTTGAACACTACGTCAAAAACTAATGAGTACTATAGGCTGGCTAATTTAACATAATAAAAAAAAGAGAAAGCTGTGTTCATTCACAAATTTGAAAACAAATCTTTACAGCAGTTGCTTAGTAATCATCAAACATTGCAAACAACTCCAACATTCCTCAACTGAGAAATGGATTACTAATCTGTGACACATCCCTATAGGGGAATACTACCCAGAAATAAAAAGGAATGAACTAGGGTACACACAACAACTTGGATGGTTCTCTAATATCCTAAGTGAAAGAAGCCAGGTTCAAAAGACTGTGTTACTCCATTTATAGAACATTATTTCAAAGACAAGACTATAAGGACAGAAAATAGATCAGTGCTCAGGGATGAAGGAGAGACTGAATACAAATGAGTATGGGAGAATTTTTTGGCATAATGAAACGTGTACATTTTGCTTGTGGTGTGTTTACACAACTATATACATTTGTTAAAATAGGTAGAAATGTATAATAAAATTTGCTGTATGTAATTATACTGTGATAAAAATACAGTGAAAAACCCTTCCAAGAAAACCCTATCATTCAAAAGGAAGATTTAAAAATATTACCAAAAGATAGCCTATAACATTCAACTTAGTCTATTTTTATTTAATGGTAACTGATGACATTTGGAAAAAAAAAGAAAAGAAGTACAAGGGAAAGTGATTTGCAAACACTGAAGAAAATTAAAGATCTAATTTCCATTTTTGTAACAATTGAAAAATTAATATACTCAAAAATTAATATAAAAAATAGATTAAATATCCTCTATTCCTTAATTTATCACGTTAAATTACCTATCAATAATTTCAGTTTATACATCACTGTCTTAGCAAAAGCCTTCCAGAAATTTTTAACAAAATACATTCTTGGGGTGGCTGAGTGGCTCAGTGTGTCTGCCTTTGGCTCAGGTCATGATCCCAGAATCCTGGGATCAAGTCCTACAAAGTGCTCTCTGCTCAGCAGGGAGGCTGCTTCTCCTCTCCCTCTCCCTGCTGCTCTGCTTACTTGTGCTCTCTCTCTTTCTCTTTCTCCATCAAATAAATAAATAAAATCTTTTAAAAAAACAACAAAATACATTCTTAACTGATCAATCTCAGGATAACCTTATGCTATAAATAACTCACAACTAAAAAAAGTTTTTTGTATTTTTGTATATGAGGAATCCATTAAGAGAGTCCAATTTAATATGTTAAGTAATGGACTTGTTAATATGAACAGATCATTTAATGTTTTCCACTTTATTGAGTTAATACAGGTAAATTTATTTATTTATAATTATATTTATTTATTTACCTGTATAAATTTATTTAAATTTATACAGGTAAAACTGTATAAATTTAAGCTGTACAATGTAATGATTTGATATATGTACATATTACAAAATAATTACTATAATAAGATTAGTTAACG